TTCAGAGCCCGAAAATTGGAGGGGAAAAGGTGGGTTGTAAAGATGGCTAAACTGGGTTATGGCCAAATTATTTGGAGCTATTTTGAGCACTATTTAGCTATTTATAAGCAAAAAAATAGTTTTTGTAGAGTTACTGGGAACGTTTTCCTGGCAGAAAAAAGAAAAAACCAGTAAATGCTCCTAAACGCTACTAAAACACTCCTAGAGCTTTTTTCAAGTTTTTTTTTTTTTTGTCATGTACTGTAAAAAGCTAATAAAACACTAACTTTCCTAAATACTCCTAAATGCCAATAAAGCTTTACTAAAAACAAGAACAAAAAACGCTACTATCAGTGTTTCATCCAGCATTTTTTTCCTAGCGTTTAGGTTGAAGAAAAAAAACAGTGTGCATGGAGCCTTAAGGTGGTTGTAAAAGATCAAGGTTTTTAACCGTCATGTATTCTATGCATGAAGATAAAAAGACCTTCTGTGTGTAGCGGGCTCCCCCTAGCCCCCCACAATCCTTATCCAAGCCCCTCTGATCCAGCGATGTTCTCCACAGCCTCTGCTGTCTGGGGACTCTTCCTCCTAATTGGCTGAGACAGCAGCGGGAGCCCATTGGCTGCCACTACTATCAATCACAGCAGGTGAGCCAATGAGGATAGAGCACATGCATAGAGCAGCAGCTTGGGGACAAGCAAGCAGCGATGCCTCCAGGGCAAGCCGTTTTCCCTGGGACAGTGGAGTATTTAGGTTTTGTGCTGCCCTAGGCAACACAAAAATTGTCTACCCCCATGGATACGACCAACACCACCACCCCTTCCCCCTCCCATGGAGAGAGCCTGACATTGACCAAAAACACCCTTGCCCCCCACTTGGGAGAACCTTCTACAACCCCTGCCCCCCGTGATAGAAAAAGAGACCCACATCTTCACAGCTCCAGACATTCCCAGGAATGAGAGTCCGGCTCTACATACACCATCAAGCAGCCTGCAGCCTCTCTGATCCCACCTGGTTCCCATTGTGTGCATGTCCCTTCTTCCATCCCTTCTTCTGGGGGGAGGTGCTCCCCCCTGAAAAATGCCACCCTAGGCAAGTGCCTTGTTTGCCTTGTGGTAAATACACCCCTGCCCTGGGGGCAATGCTCGAGGGGGAGGAGCCGGGAGCTCTGGCGGGGCCCTGAAAAGAGGATCGGGGCTGACTTGTGCAAAATCACTGCACAGAGCAGGTAAGTATAGACATCTATTTGGTATTTTTTTTAAAAAAAAGCTTTAGTGTCACTTTAAGGTCTTATTCTAATTTTTTTTTTTTTTATAGTAGAAGAGACCTTAGTGGTCTCTACTGCTGACAGGCTGGGAGAGGCATTTATGGCAGAAATGTAATCTGCACATGACCATATTTACAGTGACTCCTGTCGCATGTGGGGGAGTAATGTCATTGTGGCCCGGCCATTCAAGCAGCCAGAGTGCGGGAAGGCCAGGAGATTCGGGACCTGCTAGAGCATTGACAGCAGAGTGTTGGAGGGCTCCATTTTGACAAGTAATTTTGTCATCGTGTGTTAATATATGGTGCATACTTATGGCATAAACCTCCTGGGGGCCCTTAAAAGAAAAAAAATATGGCCGTGTTTAGTACCGCTTTAAGAGAATGTATATTGATTTTTCTATATTTTGTTCTTAACATTTTTCTCTAGGTAGTAAATATTTAAAAGGTAAATAAAATAGTAAATTATCCATATTTACAGATACGCTCTAAAACATATTTACACATATAATGCTATCCTAGTCTAGATACTCTAGCTATGAGATATTGATTGATTTAGACTTAATTTCAGCTTTTTTTTCTTTAATTCTTTACCAGGTATAGTAAAATGTTTGTATAAGAAGATCAGCAGCATAGACCTGACACACAGCAGAATACCTCTCCAAAGTGACATTATCATTCCGTTCACGCCAAGGTTTTAAGCAAACAATACAGTTTCTGTCAGATAAAGTAGAACCTCAAGACACATTTATTCCAATATCCAAAGTCATTTTAGCTGACCAATGTTCCTCTGGGAATTCTTTTATCAAATGTAATTTGTAAAACAATGATTGTGAAAAATCCTGGAAAAACATTGGTTTAAAAAAAAAAAAGGGGGGGGGGGGCAAAATACAAACAGTCTTGTGCATATTCAGGCAGATTAGCGGAATACAGATGCAGCATACTGGTATGTAGAAGTAGATCTCACTAGGTTCTCTGAAGACCCAGAGCAACATTCACAACTTGTGCTCCTCCAGGCAGTACAGTCATGGCCAAAAATTATGGCACCCTGCATTTCTGCCAGATAATGCACCACTTTGCCCAGAAAATTGTTGCAATTACAAATGTTTAGGCATTCTCATGTTTATTTCTTTTGTTTTGTACTGGTATGACACAAAAAAAAAAATGTAGAAACAAAAAGCCAAATCTGACACATTCCACACAAAACCCCAAAAATGGAGTGGACAAAATTATTGGCACCTTAAAATTGTAAGAAATGATTGCATTCCAAGTTTGTGATTCTCCTGTAATTTGTAAATAAACTCACCTGTACAAGATGGGGACAGGTAAGCAAACCCTGCTCAGTTCGACGTGACGGTCCTGATCAAGGAGCACGGTAATGACAGGAGGAAGAACCTGGAGGGGAGAGAGAGCACAGCGCAATCTGAAAGCTACTGCAGTCTCTATTGTGAGTCTCTGCTGGCGCTATCACATTTCCTCTGTACCTTCCCCTGCCGGTTGCCTGGCTAGTTAAAAGCCGCTTCCCCCCAGTCTCCTCCTGCATGGTGAGGTGTCAAGAAGAGGAGGAACATGGGAGGGAGAACATCCCACAGACGTCTGAAGCAGCATTCTATGTGAGGTATGTGTCAGTAAGGAGGAATTGAACTAGGTACACAACTGGAGGGGCAGAGTAGCATAAATTTGAGCTGGAGATGATAGTATTTTGTGCTAGAAGGGGGGGGGGGAGAAGTGGATTAGTGTGAGGAGGAGGGGGAGGAAAATATGTGGTAGGAGGGGGGACTGGGGGATTTGTGCTGAAAGGGGGAAGAGGGGGAAATTTGTGGTGGTGTAATCGTGCTAGGAGGGGAAAATTGGGGGGTGGAGGATAGGAATAATTGAGGGGAATCTGTGCTCAGAGGGGAAATTTGAGGAGTAATGGATTTGTGCTAGGAGGGGAGAATTTGGGTAAGGAGAGGATTTGAGCTGGGAGGGAGATGGGCTGGCATAGATTTCTTTAGGGTTGGGGTGTGCAGTGAGGGGGTGGAATTTGTACTGGGAAGAGGGGTAATTTTGGTTTGGGGAGAATTTGGCTTTCAAAGGAAATTTATGCTTAGGGGTAAGCGTGTAGATTAGTGCTTTAATTTATTTTTATGGGGGGGGGGGCAATTTGTGCTGACACACAATGCTCCTGCATCTTGGGATTGGAGGAGGGGGGCGTTGATTGGCATTTTCTCCCTAGGTGCTTGATGGCCTTGTCCCGGCACTCATTAGATATTATTTTTGCCAAGACGTCAGTAGTTCATGCACATTTGTGTTATACTACATGTTCATAGTATTTTATACCTAGCCAGTGTTAGCACCTACACTCTTATTCCAAAGCATAGCCCTTCTAACCCCTGTGTCCTACATTGTATTGTAACAGTACTTCCTTACTTTATTTGTAAAGCACTGCGCAAACTGTTGGTGCTATATAAATACTGAATAACCTACCAAATGATGATTATTATTTGTGAATTATAGGAAATTCTTCACCCCAGCACTTGTGCGTGTTCTTTACTGGCTCAAAGAGAGGTTTTTGTACCAAGCTTGCACATGAGAACATGAACCAGTTGCTCCCATGTAGTAATAATGAATCTGTAGCTATACATTTAACTTTCATTTTTCTATAGAGGTAAAGAGGAGGCCTGATGGGATGCTTGATGCAGCAGCAGCTGCACTTTTTTTGCTTCAGCTTTCTTATAGTAACCCCCCAATTTGTGCCAGCCCTTGTACCCGAAGCACAAATACCTGCTGCCAATCTGTAGGAGTTTTAAAGGACAGAAAAGCAGGAAACTGAGTGGCTGTGCCAGGATTAGCATGTCTTGCTGAGTTGCAGCATATTGCAATGATCGTTGCTGAAGGGGGGACACCTTTTAATTAAGGAAATCCTCTGGGACCCCATGTCTAACCATTGTCCTCCAGTGATAAATGATCACTGCAATAAGTTATGATATCTTAGACTAAGTTCTACTGCAGAAACAGCAGCTCCGATTAACTTCCTGTGCCAAAAGTCGTAAAAGACTTTGCAAGCAAGGCTGTTGCTGTGTAAGCATTGGGACCATGGGGAAAACAAAATCAGCAGCCTGGTCTCTTACAGGCATTAGCATTTTCTGGAGGCCATGTTGAATAGTGATAATTTTATGATTTGTGAACAGAGATCACAAAGAGAAATTGGATGAATGCTGCATCCACCTAGGTGAGTATATTATATTTTATTTTTTTAGTAGTCATACCCGTCTTTTAAAATGATCAGCTTTTATTTACTTACGTAAAATCTTTTTTCCCAGAAGGGAAAAATTGTTTGTAACTGGATATAAAGTATTAGCTATATTTTGACTGAAATTTGTTAGTGTATTTAAATATGCTAGTAAATCTAGTACTCCCCTCCCCCCCCAGACTGACAAGGCTGCTGTCCAAATCTGCCCCCTGTGCTCATTCATCCTGATTGGTGTCTGTATAATACAGGAGGTGTGTTACTGGCCAGATCACAGGTGAATACAGAGGGGAAAAGCCTAAAAAAAATATTAATATAGCTACTACATCTAATGACTAGTAAGATGCAATATATTACATTTTTGGTTTAATAAAACTTTAAAAATGACTGGGAATATTATATTTGGGGAACTTCATTTTGAAGAAAAAAAAGAATTTGTGCTGTGCTTGCTGGAATTTGAAATGTAAGCGAATTACATTTACCAATGCATTTATTTAAGTTTTTTTTTTTCTCTTTACGACTTGCAGTGGGAATTCAAGTGAATGTACAGCCATACGAATTGTGCGCCTCATTACTGTGCAGAGATTTCCATCCCAACCAGTAGGTGACCCAAAGACTCACGCTGACATTATTAGAGCATGATGTACTGTTCATAAGATGGAAGAAGTCAGCATTTTTTTTTCAATTTCCATATTAGAAGGGCACATTTTGTTACTTGTCAAAAACAAAAACAAAAAAAAAAAACATGCTGTACCATTCAGCTGCAGCTTGCTGCCTCTTTACTAAAACCAGTCAAAGAAATTGTATGGCAAAGGAACACCTAACTTGTCCAAATGTTATCAATGTTAAAATCTCTTGGACTCTATAATGAAGACAAAAGGAAAAGTGAAGTTACCGAGAGAAACTTATTAATAAGTGAAAAACAGTCAGGACAATGCAAATTACTGCTAACATGAACTCATGTGGGTTTGTATTATTTCAGTTTGTGCATCATCATTGCTGCTCTTTAAAATACCTTATCAAAAAAGGATATATCAGTTATTATTATACATGATTTATATAGCGCCAACCATTTGCTCAGCACTTTACAATATAAAGGGAGACCATACTGCAACAATACAGTTCAATGCAGAGGGTTAGGAGGGCCCTGCTCCTTGGAGTTTACAATCTAAGAGGGAGGGGCTGGTGGTACAAAAGGTAATAACTGTGGGGGATGGACTGGTAGGAGGAATAGAAGATTCCATTATTAGCTGAAGGCAGGATAGGCTTCCCTGAAGAGAGAGGTTTTCAGAGATCGCCTAAAAGTGGGCAGAGTAGGCGACAGTCTGATAGATTGGGGTAGAGAGTTCCAGAGGATGCGGGAGGCTCTGGAGAAGTCTTGTAGAGAGCAGGAGTTCATGGGAGGAGCAGAGAGGACGGTTTGGGATATTTAGAGATAAGATTGTAATATAATTTGGGGCAGAGTTATAAATGGTTTTATATGTTATTATTAATGTTCTGAATTTTATTTGTTTGCCAGTCCCTCCACTGGCTTCCCATTGCCCGAGAGAGCTGGCAGATATGGAACCGTTAGTAAGGGTGGATGAGTCTGGCAGCAGCATTCATGATAGACTGAAGAGGGGATAGTCTGCGATTAGGTAGGCCAATGAAGAGGGAGTTACAATAGTCTAGGCGAGAGATAACCAGGGAGTGAATAAGTTGCTTAGTAATTTGAGGTTAAGAACGGGCGTATCTTGATGTTTCAGAGGTGAAGTCTACAAGATTTGGACAGTGATTGGATTTGGGGATGAAAGGACAGATGGGAGTCTAGGATTACACCTATACCCAGGCATGAGGGGAGGGACTGATGGTTGTATTATTGATCTTGATGGAGAAGTCAGGGGAGGGGGCACGGGCTGGAGGGAATAGTATGAGCTCAGTTTTAGAAAGATTGAGTTTGAGGAAGAGGAGTGACATCCATGCTGATTATGTCACTTAGTAGGTTAGTAATGCGAGAGGAGACTGAAGGGGTGAGGAGTAGAAAGATAGATTTGTGTGCCATCAGCATAGAGATGGTACTTAAAGCCATGAGAGTTTATCAAGAGACCAAGGGAGAAGGTGTAGATGGAGAAGAGAAGGGGTCCAAGGACAGAACCTTTAGGGACCCCTACAGAAGGAGGAAGTGGAGAGGAGGAGAGACAGAGTTATAGGTAACGCTGAAGGAGCGCTGCGCTAGGTAGGAGGAGAACCAGGAGAGAGAGCAGAGTCTCGGAGGCCAGGAGAGTGGAGTTTGTTGAGGAGGAGGGGATGGTCAACAGTATCAAAAGCCGTAGAGAGGTCAAGTAGTAAGAGTACGGAGTATTGACCATTGGTTTTAGCAGTTAGTAGATCATTAGTGAGTTTTAGTAGGGCAGTTTCAGTGGAGTGGAGTGAGCAAAAACCAGGTAGGAGCTCAGGCGATTGTAGACTAAGTGTTCTAAGAGTTTAGAGGTAAACGGGAGCAGGGAGTTGGGTCTTAAGTTGTTCAGGTTGGTGGGGTCCAGTGAGGGCTTTTTAAATATGGAAGTGATGTGTGTATGCTTTAGAGGGGTGGGGAAGACACCATTAAAGAGGGAGAGATTGAGGATGTGAGTGAGGGAGCATAGGATAGAAGAAGAGGATGACCATAGTAGTTGTGAGAGGACAGGATTCAGGTGGCACGTGGTGAGACGGGTTTCTGAGAAAATTGTAGTGACCTCTTCAGTAGTAGCAAGGTCAAAAGAGGAAAGTGTTGAGGGAAGTTTAGTATAAGGTATCCTAAGTGGGATAGATGTCTGTGCAGTGGAAATGCCCCTACGAATTGCATCAATCTTGTTTTTGAAATGATTTGCGATCTCGTAAGCAGTGAGTGAGGTACTGAGTGGAGGGGGAGAAAGTAGAGAGTTAATAGTAGAGAAGAGATGACGAGGACTGGATGACTAGGTATTAATAAGAGTGACAAAGTAGGCTTGTTTGGCAGCATGGAGGGAGGAATTGCATGTTAAGAAAGCAGATTTATATAGGGTGAATGTTTTGCTGAGATTTGGTTTTACGCCACAATTGCTCCAGTGCACGCCTATGTCTCTTAAGATTTCTGGTGTAGTCGGTCTGCCACGGTCGTAATGGTCGGGGCCTGATATTTTGTGTAGTTAGAGGAGCAAGTGAGTCTAGTGTGGATGAAAGCGAACTGTTGTATCCGTTAAATCAAAACCCATATTTAAAGTATACCTTCACTTACATCCCAGCTTCCACTTGTGATACCTAGGCAAGGGTGACGTCACTTTTCTTCTGAGGAGATGCTGGGAAAGCTAAGGATCCCAAATGTTGAATGAAGATGCTCCAGCACACTGCAGTAGCATCTTCTTGCATGATTTGGGATCCTCTTCTTTCCCAGCTTCTCACCAGAAGGCACTGGACGCCACCCTTGTTTAGGTTCAGCAAGCAGAAGCTGGGGTGTAGGTTGACTATATTTTTCAGTTTTCTCCTAATGTGTGACCTTAGGAAATGTTTAATTTATACAATGGGGCCAGGGGGTAAAAAGAAAAAGTGGACCTAGCAATTTGAATTAATGTCTGCGTCAAGAAGCTGTAGTAAGTCCCAGTAGTCTACTAGGCTGCCAAGGTCTTCTGCATGCTGGAGCTAAGAGATCGATAAAATAAGGAGGGCTTCAGGTGGCACTTCCTTCAAAAGCAGGATGCTTTCTTGACTCGTATCCAGTACTGATGGGGAGAAAGAAGGCTATCAGCAGTGACTATGTTGATAACCCTTCTTACATTGTGCAGGCATTTACTGTGGTCAACCTACAATAGAAGGCCCTTTGACTGGCAGGAATACCCGGTATTCTGTGTTCATGCCAACTTGTTGTTTTTTGTTTTTTATAGTTTTGCATAGATTATGGAAGTATTAGAATCCCTAGATCCTAAAATCCCTGGTTTTTATTTCCATGTTTGAGAGATTCACCCTCACTATAAAAATGAACCTTTTCCTTCACTTATACTCAAAACCCATGTATAAGAATACAAAAATAAATAATATATAAATATATAACTTCATAAAAAAACTAAAATAATATACAAAAATAAAATAAATAAAATAGTTCAAAATGATACAAAAATGTCCAAAGTAATAGCCGAATAAAAAAAATCAAATAAAAAATAGTCCACCAAAAGTATCTCAATCCAGTGTGTTTGAACTTTCAATTTTTCATTCCGAACCTCGTGATACCTCCAAAAAAATAAACTATAATAGTGTATTACCTTCTAAATATCATATGAATGTATATACCTTAAACATATAAGTATATACTAAATCAGTGCAAACAATATATATAAATATGCGCACAAAAATATATTCAGAGTCAACTGTGAGTGACACGTGAATCATGCAAAAATCATTCTGTGTACACTCCAATAATAAGTGAAAAATAGTGTACACTCCAAACAACACAAAAAAGAAAAAAAAATTCTCTGTCTCTCTCTGTGTGTGTGTCTGTGTGTCTCTCTCTCTCTCTCTCTCTCTCTCTCTCTCTCTCTCTCTATCTATCTATCTATATATATATATATATATATATATATATATATATATATATATATATATATATACAATCTAAAATAAAGTGACACAAATCAATTAGTACAGTGAACACTCCGTGACCACCCCTAAATAGTGAGATTGAATGCAATATTACCCTCAGGGAGTAATACCAAGCTTATCTGGATGTTCTTGATGTGTAGAGCAATCACTTCCAGGCTTTCATTCACTTAAGATATAGTAGTAGTAACCATCAATCCTCCATATTCCTCATCAAGTAGAAAGGAGACCTATGTAGTATATATTTGAAAGTATAAAGACATTTTAATATAGCATCTTGCATACATTGGGGTAGATAATAATCAGCTTAGTGCTAACAAACCAGCCTCAGCAGCTTCCTTAGTTCAGAAACCACGTTTTCCTGATTCCAAAATGACCGCGTCGATACTTCTGGTTCGGCGTAATACGTCAGACGCCACGTCCTGTGTTTCGTCACTTCCGGACTTCTTCTGAAGGGCTTCAGGTGGCACTTCCTTCAAAAGCAAGGTACTTTCTTGGATCATGTATCCAGTACTGATAGGTAGAGAGAAGGCTATCAGCAGTGACTATGTTGATAACTCTTCTTACATTGCGCAGGCATTTAGTGTGGTCAACCTGCAATAGAAAGGCCCTTTGACTGGCAGTAACACACAGTATTTTGTGTTTCCTGCCAACTTTTTTTTTTAACAATATTTTGCATAGAATATGGAAGTATTAGAACCCATGGTTTTTATTTTTCATGTTTGAGAGATTCACCTTCTGGTGTCCATTCATTTTTGAGTTGTCACAGTAAGTGAGGGTACATCTTCCAAATGGGAACCCTGTTCTGATGAAAATAAATATTCCCAACGGGACACACACATGAAATTAGGGGTCTTAACCATTCCCTTCTGTATATCTAAAACTAAAAAAAAATATATATTTTACACACAATGCCCCTTTTAAAGTACTTTGTTTTAGCTACATCAACAATTTGCTAAAGTGCATTTTGCACATAAACCATTGCACACCAATTAAATTGCACAGACAGGGCA